TAAAAGAAAATTTCCTACTCAATGAGGACTCAAAATACCCGGTTAAAGAAAACTCGGTTGTTCTATGAAGGTCGAAACGTAAACCGACATATCCACCCATCCATATATCCATCTGCAATACCAAACATCCTCGGAGCAGTAGCAATGTGTATGCAAAATTTCACACACATTGGGTAGCAAAGCTCCCAACCAAAACTCATCGATATCGGTCCAATTTTTAGGATACCATATAACGGCATTCCTGATATTGGTACCCCCAATATTCAGTATTTTAAACCTGCTGCATTTTGATATTTTGTTTTTTAATTGGGTACTGAAAATGGTCAATATTAATTCCATTTTTAGGACAACGCTCATATTTTGGTATTTGAGGACTTAGAGCAGTATTTTCAACCGAATTTTGCCTAATTTGATATTTTGGATTCAATCTCCGTACGCCTACTTTACCGGTTATAAAGGTCCTCCTTATTATTCGATATTATAAAGTTTTGGACAAGTTTTTCAACCGATTCACCTCTAATTGATTTCTCGGGCTCTCGTGGTATAATAGTACCGGTCCATGAAATTCGTGAAGGCTGATATTTGTATACAGAAATTATCAATATATGTCTATTGTGAGTATTTTGATATTCTGGCCTTTTCCAATTTTGGTAGTCCAAGATATTGTAGAGGAAATCATATTTTTCGGGAAAATTGTCTACATAGGTCCAACTTTTGATATTGCACCACCCCATTTGCGAATTTGTAAGGCCGTAATTTGTCATACTGGATTCGTGAATTTCCTTTAGTTCCTACCTCAGTTTCCCAACCTGAGTGTCTATATAAAGAAAATGAGGTCACCCTCATTTTCATAAATGTTCTGACATAGAGCCCATATAAAGGCCTTCCGAAATTTCTGTATTTGAAATGTCTTTAGGCCTTCTGAAGGTTCTTGAAAAATATTCTGTAAGAAATCCATGCCTTCTGAAGGTTCTTGAAAATATTCTGCAGGAAATTCATGCCTTCTGATAGCCCTTGAATTGATGGTAGAAAAAAATATTATGAAAAAATCCACACCTTAATTGATGGTAGAAAAAATATTATTAAACAAATTCACGCCTTCCGTTGATGGTAGAAAAAATATTATTTAAGAAATTCACGCGTTCCATTGATGGCAGAAAATATTCTTTAAAAAATCCACACCTTGTATTTATTGTTAAAAAATATTCGTTAAAAATTAAAACGTCTGTTATAGTCCTTGACAAATATTGTTAAAGAAATATCCGCCTGTTACAGTCCTTGAAAAATATTCTGTAAGGAATCCACGCTATCTGAAGGTCTTTTTCAAAACAATTCTTTAAGAAATCCACACCTTTTGTGAGATATTTGAAAAAATATTCTTTAAAAAATTCACGCCTTTTATTGATGCATATTACAGCCCTTGAGAAAATATTTATAAAGAAATTTGCGACCCACCATATTTGATATTCAGAGCTTTTAGGTATTGCCGATCAACACATATCCAAGTTTTGCAATAGCCCCTAACAAAGATCCTGTTTTCGGTGTTTTTAAGGTTTTATCTGACTTTTTACATCGAAGTGGCTGTTTACATGTTCTATTGTCTTTACGATACAACAACACTCAACTTCTCTCAAAAAGCCAGTAATTTATACTCACCCCCACACACACACTCAAATTGTTTTGTATTCAACAGCTGTCCACTAAATTATTCAGAAGAGAATTTTAGTACATTACTAAGTAGAAAAGCTCAGATAAAAGCTTTTTTCTACACAACAACAAGATGCCAGATGTTTAGAAAATAATAGCATTTCATATATAATAGCTTTGATTTATTTCAACTTTTTATTTAAACCGTTAATACTTTTTTATAAGCTCATTTAAATCTATCAAATTGTGCATATGAAATAAAGACAAGTGAAAAATCGTTAAGTTCGACCGAGCCGAACTTTGGATACCCTCCACCATAGGTATACTGACAGATACTTGTAATGAAAATATAGGGAACATACCAAAAAGTGGACATATGCCGATATATTTCATTATTGTCAGGTTTGAGTTTTTTATCACGACATCTTTAGAAGGCGGAATGACTACAACAGATGGCTAAATCGTCTTTGTAGGGTAAAAATTGGATATTCAAGGTTACGACTACCCCCCATATTATGACAGAATAGAAAGGGGACGCCGCCCCAACACACGGAACAAATGAACCAAATTACAGCGAACTCGGTTGAAAAACGAGTTCAAGAACGCCAAAATACCGAAAATTGGGGTACCTTTATATGAGGGCTACCCGAAGAAATGGACCTATATTTATAATTTTTGTGGAAAGATTTTCTACCCAATAAGAGCTCAAAGTACTAAATTACAGCTAAAAGTTTGGGAAAAAATGTTTTGACATAACCTCACATAATTTTCGATATTTTGAGTTTATTTTAGCGGCACTTTCAACCGTCTGTATGTTGGGATTTTGGAGGCTGGTATACATATGCGGCGAATATTATCAATGTAGGCAGGTCCATGTTTTGATACAGCCTCATTATGAAATTTTCACCCAATTTTCAGTGTTTTTAGGGTTTTAGCAGCATTCTTTAAAAGAACTACAATTTCTACTCTTTGGATTTTGGAGACTGGCATACATCTTCACAGAAAACAAATATTATAGATCCAAGTTTTGTCATAGTCCCTTTGTATTAGGCAAACGGAATTCTAGAATTCTGAAATTTGGAATGTGGGTCACTACTGGAATGTTAGAAACATATGCAAAGTATTAAATAAGAAGTATTAAAGGTTACTAAATTTAGTTCTAATTTTGAATTTATACAGCTAGAAATTCGTACTATGGGTACGAAAAGTACTAAATGATGCTAAATAGATGGATTTTAGGTGAACGGATAGAGATGAAAACCTGAAATTCGGATTTAAGATTATTGTTGGAGTGTAGGTTTGATTCGTACCTTTGGTCACAAAAAGTGCCAAATTGTACAAAATCTGGTACAAGTTGGATTTGTGTGGACTGAAATCCTGAATTTTGGAATGAAGATTATTTTTGGGCCAGAGAGTGGAACTTGGGTTAATTTATTCGACAACAATATTCCTCACACCATATGTCTAAAATGCTAAGATTTCGAGAAATCTTAATCCGAATATTTATACCCTACACACCTATGTTGTAAGGATATTATAGCTATATATATATATACCTTTAAGTATACCGATATATCAACTGGCTAAGTCGATCTAGATATGCGTGTCCGTCCGTCTGTCCATTATAATTTGTAAACACGATGCAAGCCACAGTTACGGACCAATTTTTCATGTAGGACCGGTTCGGACCGAAGAAGACACCTTTTGTTTTGGGTGATGATTGGTTAATATTTGGGGAATGAAATTGATCAAAAACTTTATATTTGTCGGTTTTTTTGGTCGCCCTAGAGGCCGCAATTATAATCGGAACATCATGAAATTTTACATGGGGAAGGGGATATTGACGAAGAATAAACACGACTGTTTTTGGTGAAGCCAGTATTTAGCGGGTCAAATGGACCCAGACTTTGAAAAATTACAAATATTTGATTTTATGGTATATATATTTCCTCCTGAATAACATATACCCGTGAAGTTGATAATATATTCAGAGCAGTGGTTGACCCTTAAATTTATACAAATTATATAGCAGAACATACTCGGATGTGGGAATCATATGTAAATATTTAAAGGTGTCTATGAGTTATGATATTTTTTGCTATTACTATTACCCCGCTTGAGGGCAGAAATGTCGCGATCATCGCTTTGAAGTTCCGGTTATGTGCTATACTTTTCGATGATGTTGAGATGATATTTAGGGGTGAAATGAACTTTATTTTTGTCAGATTTTCTAGTCGCTCTAGGTCATTATTATATGGAAATATTTACCTTGTGAAGGGGATCTGCTCAAATACTTGAAGCGGTCAAATCAACCAAAACCTAAAGTGACCAATTTTTATTTTTTGGCGTAAATATACACCTCTGGAAATCAAGATTTGGAAAATATGGCAGGGATAGAAACTGGAGCTGTTGATCTATAATCGGCCAAGGGGGTGCAAATATCGCGAAATATTTGACCAGGCTTAGAATATAGAACCGCAGAAATTTATATTTTCGTTGTAATTGTGTAGTGTATGATATATTCGGTCCCCTTTCGACTATACTGCTCCGTTCACTGGTTTCAAATGTCTTGGAAATGGGAAATATTGCCAAGCTTCTTCAGGTAACCTCCCGAAGTAAACTATCAAAATTATGGGCCTCTACTTGAAAAATGTCACGACGATTGTTCCATAACTGCCGTGTCGTAGTGTAGGGTATAAAAATGAAACAAAATATGTTTGTATATGTTTGATTGGTTTTATTATAAATAAGGGATAACCCATTAACCTCTTCTTGATTCATTAATTTAAATTTTTATATTTTTTAATAACATTTACATACATAGGCAATATCAATTATAAATATATATGTGTGTGTGTTTATGTGAAACACAAATGGTGGTTTGGTACACAATATCAGTCAGGAGATAGATAATCCTTTGGGTTTCTTGTTTTTTAATAACTATTCCTTTCTACTGCACGGTTTTAAACTCTGAAAGGTGTCTAAAAAATAGGTTTTTAATAAAATAAATAGAAAAATAAATCATAAAAATTAATTCGAGTGTAAATTAATTTAAAACCGAAATGAGTGGCGGCGGTGCACTTAATTGATGATTAAATAAAAATAATTATAATAAATATACACATGACACAGGAATCAACAAGACAGACAGACTGCTCACACACACACAACAGAAGATGTGTGTGTGTGCGGGACGACAATTAGGTCTCTCAAAAATCACTAGGAAATAGCTGTTCGTTCCGCAACTATTTCCTCTATTTGCTTAGAACAAAAGAAAAAAAACTGAATACTCGTATTTCCAGTCAAAAAAATTCTTATAAGAAAAAAATCTCCTCTTCTTTCATTTCTCCATCTTATTCCGGTATACCAGATTTAATAACTTGACTATTTGCCGTACGAAAAATTCTCTCCTTTTCGGGTAATTCACCAATTAAATAATCACGCATTTGTTCAATGGCATCACGTGAATGTCCCGTGCCATGGAAGGCCAATGTAGCATCACGTCCAGCATAATCCATTATAACATCAGCACCACCGGGATGATCTTGTAGGAAAGTGGTGACATCGTAAACGCGATCATAGATTACAACCCAACAATCAGAATAATCATCGTGTTGCGCCACAGCATCCAAAGAGATTTCTGGAAGTGAAGTCCGCCGTTCGTTGAGGGTTTTAAGTGACGGTTTTTGTTGCGACTTCTTTTCCGGTACAATGCGCAATGCCTGAAGTAGGGTGGTTATTGAGGTGGTCATATTGTTCAGTGTGTTATTTGTTTTTCCACTTTATTAGAAAACTATTTTTTTGTTTGCGTATTTTGCGGTTTTATTAAAATATTTTTTTTCTCACAAAGACGTCACTTGTTTTGATTTGGTTGCCGTTTTTTCTTGTTTTCAATCGGGTTTTTATTATTTCTATTTTTTCAAATTTCCCTTTCGTTTTCACAGCGTTTTGTGGTTTATTCGCGTAGCGTTTGGTTTTATCTGTCTTTCATTAGCTTTGAGCTCCGTTCAGTTAATGCAGTCAACACATCGTGGAATGTATTTATAAAGTCTTGCCAGCCTACCGAAAAGAGAGATATTGATTGTGGCGGAGATTACAATTGACTCTGATGAGAGCCAGCACGAGTGGCAGAGAATTTTTTTATTTTACGTTTCAGTTTCTCAAGTTAATTATTGAAAATGAGATTCTATTGAAATTTGCTAGAATAAATATACCCTAACATTGCGAAAAATATTCTTTAAAAAAATCCACGCCTCTTATAAGCCTTTTCAAAAATATTCTTTAAAAAATCCACGCTTATTAAAGCATTGAAAAAATATTCTTTAAAAAATCCACGCCTATTAAAGCATTGAAAAAATATTCTTTAAAAAATCCACGCCTATTAAAGCATTGAAAAAATATTCTTTAAAAAATCCACGCCTATTAAAGTCTTTAAAAAATCCACGCCTATTAAAGTCTTTAAAAAAATATTCTTTAAAAAATCCACGCCTATTAAAGTCTTTAAAAAAATATTCTTTAAAAAATCCACGCCTATTAAAGCATTGAAAAAATATTCTTTAAAAAATCCACGCCTATTAAAGCATTGAAAAAATATTCTTTAAAAAATCCACGCCTATTAAAGCATTGAAAAAATATTCTTTAAAAAATCCACGCCTTTGTTTGGCCTTTAAAAAATATTCTTTAAAAAAATCCACGCCTTATATAGGCCTTAAAACAATATTTTTAAAAAAATCCACGTCTTATACTAGGCATTGAAAAAATATTCTTTAAAAAAACCCACGCCTATTAAAGCATTGAAAAAATATTCTTTAAAAAAATCCACGCCTATTAAAGCATAAGCCGTGAAAAAATATTCTTTAAAAAAATCCACGCCTATTAAAGCATTGAAAAAATATTCTTTAAAAAAATCCACGCCTATTAAAGCATTGAAAAAATATTCTTTTTAAAAAAATCCACGCCTATTAAAGCATTGAAAAAATATTCTTTAAAAAAATCCACGCCTATTAAAGCATTGAAAAAATATTCTTTAAAAAAATCCACGCCTATTAAAGCATTGAAAAAATATTCTTTAAAAAAATCCACGCCTATTAAAGCATTGAAAAAATATTCTTTAAAAAAATCCACGCCTATTATATAGGCCTTGAAAAAATATTCTTAAAAAAATCCACGCCTATTATATAGGCCTTGAAAAAATATTCTTAAAAAAATCCACGCCTATGGAAAGCATTGAAAAAATATTCTTTAAAAAAAATCCACGCCTATTAAAGCATTTCAAAAATATTCTTTAAAAAAATCCACGCCTATTAAAGCATTTCAAAAATATTCTTTAAAAAAATCCACGCCTATTAAAGCATTTCAAAAATATTCTTTAAAAAAATCCACGCCTATTAAAAATATTCATTGAAAAAATATTCTTTAAAAAAATCCACGCCTATTATATAGGCCTTGAAAAAAGTATTCTTAAAAAAATCCACGCCTCTTATAAGCCTTTTCAAAAATATTCTTTAAAAAATCCACGCCCCTTATAAGCCTTTTCAAAAATATTCTTTAAAAATCCACGCCCCTTATAAGCCGTTTGAAAAATCTTCTTTAAAAAAATCCACGCCTATTATAAGCCATTTCAAAAATATTCTTTAAAAAATCCACGCCAATATCATTTTCAAAAATAATCTTTAAAAAATCCACGCCTTATAAGCTTTCAAAAATAAGCCACGCCTTTTCAAAAAAAATATTCTTTAAAAAATCCACGCCTCTTATAAGCCATTTCAAAAATATTCTTAAAAAAATCCACGCCTCTTATAAGCCTTTTCAAAAATATTCTTTAAAAAATCCACGCCTTGTCTATGGCCTTTTCAAAAATATTCTTTAAAAAATCCACGCCTTGTCTATGGCCTTTTCAAAAATATTCTTAACACTAGAACGCCGAAGGCCGTCATTTTGACCGCTTTCCAATTTCAAGTACAAAAGCAACTGTGCATTTTAATAAGCCATTTCAAAAATATTCTTAAAAAAATCCACGCCTATTCTAAGCCATTTCAAAAATATTCTTAAAAAACTCCACGCCTCTTATTAGCCATTTCAAAAATATTCTTAAAAAAATCCACGCCTCTTATAAGCCATTTCAAAAATATTCTTTAAAAAATCCACGCCTCTTATAAGCCATTTCAAAAATATTCTTTAAAAAATCCACGCCTCTTATAAGCCTTTTCAAAAATATTCTTTAAAAAATCCACGCCTCTTATAAGCCATTTCAAAAATATTCTTTAAAAAATCCACGCCTCTTATAAGCCTTTTCAAAAATATTCTTTAAAAAATCCACGCCTCTTATAAGCCATTTCAATAATCTTCTTTAAAAAATCCACGCCTCTTATAAGCCATTTCAAAAATATTCTTTAAAAAATCCACGCCTCTTATAAGCCTTTTCAAAAATATTTTAAAAAAATCCACGCCTCTTGGAAGCCTTGAAAAAATATTTTTTTAAAAAATCCACGCCTCTTGGAAGCCTTGAAAAAATATTTTTTTAAAAAATCTACGCCTCATTTATAGTGAATATTTCATCAGTGCAGGGTACCACATTGTGGGCTTAAACTTCAACTTAATTTCTCATCTCAATATATTTTTCTCGCAAACATTTCCTCTCAATTGAATTAAATAAATTCTCACATTTCATCAATACTGACAAAAAATTATCAAATGTTCGACAATACACGACGAACTTTTTTTTCGTTTCGTACGAACTATCAATCTCAAGGCAACTTTCAATTACAATTTCAAACCAAACCACAAATAGTTGTTGTTGCTTATCGGCACTTCTTCTTCTGCTACGGCTGGTGCTGCTACTCTTCGGAAAATACATACAACGACGCATACAGCACGTGTATATCATATTTATGCTGATAAGAGATTTTCCCGTTTATTTCTATGTGGCGGGCGTGTGACTGTCACACTTACTTACACTCACACACTTGATGTGTAATATTACAAAAGGGGGAAATTAAAAAGAATTATGATTTTAATATGTGGTTGATTTGTGGTCGGAACATTCGTATTGAATTTTGGGAAATATTGTATATGTTTACTAAAGTATTCGAATATTTTGTGCTTCCTACTTCTTAAATTCGGAATGCAACATAATATCATGGGGAGATAATTGTTTAGAATTTATTTATCATTACAAAATAACCCTTTATTAAATAAATTTAAATTTTTTTATATTTTTTCAGAAAGTTTTACCTATCGCCGTTTGTTTATTGGTAAGTATGCATACAGTTTTTATAGTTATCTCCCTTCTACGGTCAGTAATGGGTTAATATTTCTCAAAGTCTCAATGTTGGCTGGTGTTAAAACATTTGTAACAGAAGTTATTTAATGTGTGCGCAAGTTCCTCTATAATGTAATGTAATTGTTTGTATGTGTGCATGGTGTATATTATCAACAAAAAATATAAATTTATTTATAGCTACTGAAAAGGGGGCTCGTACAGGCCATAAGTCAGACAATTCGAGATTTTTTAATGTTGAAAATTAAATTAAATAGACAGTCAAATACACATTGCGATGGCAGGAAACTAGTTGCGAAGACGTAAAATATATTATCAAATTTCGGGAAACAAGAAATGCTATAATCTATAGTTTCACCAAAACCTATATATGTATGTGAGACGTTCTGATAGTCTGCATCGTAAAAAATTAAAAATAAAACAACTTTTGTCCATATCAGTAATAATTCAGTTGAGTGAAATAAGCCACTGTGCCATACACAACTATGAGAAGCATTAAAAGTTTCTGCTTGACCATGAATTTTGTGAAACACTGAAATATGGACCTTGGCCGAATAATTCAGAAACTTATACAATATACGCATATATTCATACATATACGATGTTGGCCTTTGTATACCCTGCAGTATAATGTAAGGTCAATCCGAAATTTGTATACTCTTCACCATGAGTTGGACATTTGGCATATGTAAAAGAAATCAGGACAATTATAAGGGAGGTATGCTTCTGTAAATGTAGTTGACAGGATATATCTAATACCAACGTAAGACCTTCCTTTAGATCGGAATTTTGAAATGATGTATGAGTGAATTGTAGAAATATGGACATATATTGGAAATTGTTTATGAAAAAGTTAAATGCCTAATGCCACAGCCACTATCATTACGAAATAGCTGGGATTGGAATTAATTTCTGCTTGAAAATACGTCTAAAATCATAGCAGTACATACTGAGGGTCTGCACCGTTATATGGCGGCTATGACCAAAGGTGAATCGATATTTACAATTTTTGATGGGGAGATTTGTCCTTCAATATGAAATCAAAATATCATGTGAGCGCTGCCAACTCAATCGAAAGCCAGTAAGCGGAGCAGTATAGTCAGACGGTGCCGACTATATGATACCCTATACAAATACCACCGAACTATAATTTGCAGATCTTAATTCAGTGTCTGGGCCATATTCCGCGATATTTCCATCCTCTTAATCGATAAGAGGCCAACAGCTTACCTTTCTTACCTTGGCATATTTTCCAAATTATTTTTTTTCCAGAGTAAACATTAACGACATACGATTCAAATTTGGCTATTTTACAAACAAAAGCCTTGGTTCAGTTGACCCTTAAATATTGGACGACCATTTTTAAAACGGCCAATCTAAATAGTAGGACAGATCCTTCATCCGTGTAAAATTTGTGACTTATGAACTAATGCTTTAGTTCCATTTCATTCCCTAATTATCATCTGATCTTTG